ATTCAATATGCCAAAAACAGTAACAATGATGTGTCTCATTCCCCTGACCTTGAAAGAGCCTCCAGTGCAGCATCATTGAAAAGGATGAGTAAGGAGAGGCTGCTAAAATCTCAAGGCTAGGACAAATGCAGACGTTACTGGTGCCCACTCGAGCAAATCGATGAATAACGGGACAACACTGATACAGTGATGTATATCTAAATCCCAACTATGGGGGCTGGAGCAATAGCACAGCAGGTAGGGCATTTGCCTTGCACGCGGCCAACCTGGGTTCGATTCCCAGCATCCCTTATGGTCTTCTGATTACCGCCAGGAGTAATTTTTGAGTATAGAGCCAGGAGCAACCCCTGTGCATGGCTGGGTACGACCCCACCAAAAAATAAATAAATCCCAACTATGTATAACTTTGTAAATCATGTTTTTTTTTCACTAAATAAAATTTAGGGCAAAATAAAATAAATTTAAAAGGAAGAAATTTCTTAGTAAAGAAGAAAATCGGCTTTAATTCTTTTACTTTTTTTTGGTATGAGAAAGAATAAAGTTATGTGGTTGCTTCACAATGTGTATACTCAAAAATATTATGTGGTACAATTTAAACAAACCAATAGTATGCAGATTTTGCATCAATAAAACAGTGAGATTCATTTTTAAAGAAAATATTTGTGTACAATTGCTAATTAATGGATTTCTAAAACAATAGCAACTATATATATATATATATATATATATATATATATGGTTAAAACCTAAAAGTTTTTCAAATGTTTTGTAATACAAAGCAATGTTGAAGAATCAATCTGGAACCAGAGGCCTTATGAACAAAAAAAGTGTTGAGCTAAACCGTACATAAACTATAGTGTAGCATAGCACATCATAGCATAGCATATCATGGCATAGCACATTATACTAAAATATAGCATAGAATTTAAATATTAGTGGGAATACCGCCACTTTTGTTTGTTGTCCATTAACTAGTGAAACTTACACAATAGAGACACACATGGGAGTGCTTTATTTCTCCAAGCTTAAAGGAAATGGGGAACCTAGACTATAAGCACAGCTAGCTAAGGGCAGCACAGTTTTGAGAAAGAACAGAAATGTGTTGTGTTGTGCATAAAATTTTCTATGGATACTATGTCTCTATTCTTTTTTTAATTTTTTTTTAATTTTTGGGTCACACCTGGCAATGCACAGGGGTTACTCCTGGCTCTGCACTCAGGAGTTTCTCCTGGCAGTGCTCAGGAGATTATATGGAATGCTGGGAATCGAACCCGGGTTGGCTGCTTGAGCACATGCCATGCTATGCTATACTATGATGTGCTATGCTACACTATAGTTTATGTACAGTTTAGATCAACACTTATTTTGTTCATAAGGCCTCTGGTTCCAGATTGATTCTTCAACATTGCTTTGTATTACAAAACATTTGAAAAACTTTTAGGTTTTAACCATATATATATATATATATATATATATAGTTGCCATTGTTTTAGAAATTCATTAATTAACAATTGTACACAAAGGCAAATGCCCTACCCGCTGTGCTATTGCTCCAGCCCTGTGTCTCTATTCTTATTCTGGAGCTATCTGGCCACGTCCCACAGTTGGCACTGTCTTCCTATCTAGAAAGATGACTTGGGGTAAGTTGAGGATCAGTGTCCTATACTTGTTTCCTCAATATTTTTCTCATTCAAGTGGGGGATCACTCATTTTCCAATAAAGAATAAAGAGTGTTTTAAAACTCACGCACTGATTCTCTGCCTGATAAATTTCTTACAGTTAATTGAAAATTGAGGAACACATTGGATGGGTTAAGGTACAGACTACAATTACATTTATGCATGTTAAATATTAGAACAGGTGGAAACATGATGAAATGAAATTGGTGTGTTCAGAGTGAAGTGTATAAGATATTTTTATTTTCTATAGAACATGAGCATATTGTTGCTTAGCAATTGAGTTTAGAACATAATCGGGGCTAAAGGGGAAGTGTTTGCTATGTCTCTGTCAGGTAAAATCTCTAATAAAAATTATTGCTTATAGAATTTGGGTGTAAGAGGAATGATAAGGCTACAAACAGAAAGGGCCATGGAGACTATTCTTTCTACTATTGGTCATTCAAGAATTTATCTATAAAGAAGAGAATCATTTGAATTTGCACACACATTGAAACTAATACACTATGATTTGTTGCCAGTATTAGATATATTGAGGTATATTTAGAACTTTATTGTACTTTATCGTATCTACTTTATGTGGTTGGGAAAGTGAGCACTCTTACTTAGCACCTCTTGTCAGGGTAAGCTGTGTTCATAACGGATTCATGTCTTGCACCTAACCCATAATTTTGCCTTTGATTGTATTTTTTTAAATCTTTTAGTACTGATGGTTGTGACACTGTGAGAGAGCAGTTACTTAAGGTCAGAACTCACAAAGGCAGCTCAGTGTGATGAGATGGAACAGCTGTTTCCTGCCCTGCCCTCCATTGTTCTCCCTTGCTGGCTACATAATGGCTGTGGGTGATCTCCTGGTGCAAGTTAGAACTTGATCTCACCACCCTGGTTAGGAGCTTTTCTGATCTATTATGGATGGTCACAGGATGCACCTTCCCAGAGCCATGGTTCCCAAGGAGGAATGATGCTGATGAAAGGAAGGATTTGGCAGAGACAATAAAATCTTCAGGCTGGCTCTCAAATAGCTATTAGGAGGTGTTAAATCCACAGCATTTTATGTCCCCAAACAAATTGAGTGAGTAAATCCTCTTGTCATGGCTTATAGTTCTAAAATTCGAGAATCTAAGGAAAGACATGAGTTTTAAAGATCTATATTCTCCTAGATAACCAGTCTTGGTTTCCTTTAGATTATTGAACTAGACTGATTCAGTCCTCATCTTTAAAGGATAAAGGAAAATATGGAAAAGACTGATTATAGATTATTCTTGAATTTTTTTCATGCCAAGCTCATGGAAACTTTGAGGATGTGAAGAAAACTTAGGAATAGTAAAATATGGAGAGAGGAAAACTGTCATGATAATCAATTCCTTGTAAATAAATCTATAAAGTAGGTTAAAGAAAGATTGATGGATCACAGAAAAAAAAGATTAATTTTAAGCTGAAGAACAGAAGTGGTTCTTGCTAATGTTTGTGTGGTTTAAACCTGTCGATATTGATGGTGCACACAAAAACTTACATAATGTTCAATGCATTTATGCTTCAATTTAAACAATGGGACTATGAATAATAAGACAGAAAACAATGTTGTATGAGAGTTTAAGCAGACAGTTTTGCTCAGGAAAAGAAAAGTAGAAAACACCTGATTATATTATATGTATTAAATACAGGACAGATATGTGAATATATTATTACATATTTTGGTGATGGTCACGGTCCTCTCGTTGTTCATCGATTTGCTCGAGCAGGCCCAGTAACGTCTCCATCGTGAGACTTGTTGTTACTGTGTTTGGCATATCGAATACGTCACGGGGAGCTTGCCAGGCTCTGCTGTGAGGGCGAGAGACTCTCAGTAGCTTGCCGGGCTCTCCGAGAGGGGCGGAGGAATCGAACTCGGGTCGGCCATGTTGGCCGCTTGTAAGCCCTACCGCTGTGCTATCGTTCCAGCCCTACAAATATATTATATATCATGTATGATATAATTTTATCTCATTAGTTATATTGATATATCACTGTCTTCCCATTGCTTATTGATTTACTCAAGAGGGCACCAGTAACGTCCTCATTTGTCCAGCCCTGAGATTTTAGCAGCCTCCCCTTACTGTTTTCCCAATGCTGCCATATTGGAGGCTCTTTCAGGTTCAGGGAAATGAGACATGTTATTGTTATTGTTTTTGGCAAATTGAATACACCACAGATAGCTTGCCGGGCTCTACCAATAATGATATATAAATTTTAGATTTTGATAAAATGAATTTTAATTGTATATGTTATTAGATATATTAATGTGGAAGCATATATGTAGAGGAAAATGTTATTTAACTCTACAAAAATACATACGGATATGTTTATATGCATATTTTATAACATGCATAATTGTAATACATGTTGTTATATGTAAAACATTGAATATATGCCATAAGAAATTTGCTTTTAATAACTTCATAATTTTTCAAAAAGGGAGAGACAATAGCCAGGAATCAAATAGAAAACTGCTCTGCATTGTGTTTTCCTGGGATATTTTGATAAATAGTGCAGTATTTCAACTTTGAACACAGAGTGGGGGCTGATATGACAGTTTTGATGAATATATAAAATATGAGTACTTTTGTGAATAACAAAACTCTAATGCCAAGGTGTTGGCTTTGAAGTCTAGGAATAAATTGGACAAAAGCTTTGAACAATTTGTTATTCCATAGAAAATACATATACACAATTATAGGCCAACGTGAATTGTTTTTACGCATTCAATCACAAATACATAGAAAAAAGTGATAGGAAGAGTTGGCGTTTAAAATATAACTGCGACCAACTTTAAGAGACAGAAAATAATGAGATTCCAGCAGCAGTGACTCTGAAAAAAACATGAAACTCATTTACCTGCCAATATCTTCTCATGAAGTTTTGACACACGTAGCACAAAGAGGATGGATTTATAAATTATAAATAAAATGAAACAGCTACAGCACAGACTACAGGACAAAATTCTATTACAGAAAACTCACAGGCAAAATTAGCTCAAGTTGCCAAATTCAGAGTTGGAGCTAAATATTGGGGAGCGAACAAACTAATCTGCAGTAGAGTGACTCAGGTCTTTAGCGGAACAAGCTTTAACTCTGACGGTTGACTTGCTTTTCTCTCACTCCCATAACCACTATCTCTACGTTTCCTTGTATTTTTTCATTCTTTTAGTACTGCTGCTCTGATGGTGTGACACTGGGACAGAACAGATGCTCCCAGATTAGCATTGCGTTCAGCCAGTTCTGGGGACGAGACAGGACAGCGATGTTTCTGGCTCTGCCTCCTCTGCTCTTCCATGCTGGCTTCGTAATGGCTGATGCTGAGCTACTGGTTCAAGTGAGGAGCCTGCTCTTGCTTCTCTGGATGAGGGTGTTTCTCTTCCAGAGTGGATGGACCCAGGTTGGACACTGCCACAACCAAAACTCCCCAGAAGTGGTGATTCCCGTGAAGGTAACAAGGTCTGGCAGAGACGCTAGGTCTTCAAGCTGGCTCTCATATAGCATGCATTTTGGGGGTCAGAGGCACATTGTCCACTTGAAAACCAACAAGTTGTTTTTGGCTAGGCACATACCGGTGTTCACGTACACAGAGCAGGGAGCACTGCTCGAGGACCATCCCTTCTTTCAGGATGACTGTTTCTATCACGGTTATGTGGAGGGAGACCCAGAATCCCAGGTTGCCCTCAGTACCTGTTTTGGGGGCTTTCAAGGAACATTAATGACAAATGACATTACTTATGGAATCAAGCCCAAACTGCTTTCTACCACATTTGAACATCTGGTCTATAGGAGGGAGAGTGATGAGTCTTTTACTCTCACAGACTGTGGAATGACAGATAAAGAAATCACAGCACAATTGAAACTTGTCAAAAGGAGAATTACCCCAGAGATGAGGGTTAGGTATTTGGACTGGTGGATCCACACGTTTTATATTGAAGTGGGAGTGGTTGTAGACAGGCAGAGGTTTCTTCATTCCAACAGAAACATTACACTGGTGTTCAATGACATCTGCCTGGTGATGAATCAAGTAGGCCTGTTACTAAAAGCTTTGGCCCTCCAGGTGGCTTTAATGGGAGTTGAGGTCTGGTCTCAGAAAAACTTGATCCCGATACATGATGTGAACGATACATTGAAAATTTTTTGTATTTGGAAGCAGTCTGCCTGGGTGAATCGCCTGCCACATGATATTGCACATCTTTTTGTAAAGAAGAATTTTTCACGTGCTCTGGGTGCCAGCTATTGGGAATCAGCCTGTGATCCTAGTCAGAGTTGTGCAGTCGAGCCTTTCTTGGAAGACAATATCGAAGCATTTTCTTACAAAGTGACACATCAGATTGGCCATAATGTTGGTATGGTGCATGATTCTATAAAAAATTGTACATGTGGTGAGGATCATTGCATCATGTTCTATGAATATAAGCCCTCAAGGAAATTCAGCAACTGCAGTTTCAATGAATTCTGGGAATTTGCATATACACAAACATGTTTGTATAGTCTGTCAGCTCCAAATAAGATGTTCAAGCACATACGTTGTGGGAACGGTGTGGCTGAAGAAGGAGAAGAATGTGATTGTGGCACTATGGAGTTATGCTCCGAAGATCTTTGTTGTAATTCAAACTGCACTCTCATTCCCGGGGCTAGCTGTGCTTTTGGACTTTGCTGCGAAACATGTGGGCTCATGGGTCCAGGAGAAGTCTGCAGAAAGGTGGAGAATGAGTGTGATCTCCCCGAGTGGTGCAATGGGACATCCCATCATTGCCCAGAAGATGTGTACATACAGGATGGATTTCCATGCTCTAATGGATACTGTTATGAGAAAAGATGTAATGGCCGTGATGACCAGTGTAGAAAAATCTTTGGTCCACAGGCCAAGAGTGCGAACATGAAGTGTTATAAGGAAATAAACAGCCAAGGTGACCGTTTTGGCCACTGTGGTATAATTGATACTCAGTATATAAAATGTAATGGCTCCCAAAGGCTATGTGGCAGGATTCAATGTGACAATGTGAAGAAACTTCCTTTGTTGATAGATCATACTACTGTACATTTCACTAACTTCCAAAACATCCATTGCTGGGGGACTGACTACCATATTGGGATGAGCATACCTGACATTGGTGCAGTGACTGATGGCACACTGTGTGGTCTAGATCAAATCTGCATCCAAAGAAAATGTGTTGATATTTCAGTCTTGGATCTCACAACTTGCACAGCAGAAATATGCACCAACAATGGAATCTGCAACAATAAGCATAATTGCCATTGTGACTATGGATTTTCTCCACCCTTCTGCTCTGAACCAGGTTATGGTGGTAGTATTGATAGTGGTCCAGCACCTGAAAAACAAGAGTTTTTAAAGGATATGGGCCTTGACTACCTGTTAATAAATTGGCTTTTTCGTATTCTAGCTTTATTATTTTGTGCCTGCTGTTTGATTATTATAGGACCATTTGAAGATGAAGATGAATAACACTAGCATAGAAAGAACAATGGGAGCAAGATTTCCAATCTATTTCAGTTAAGTAAGTCTTTGGGTCCATCGTCACCTTGGGAAGAAGAGCACATGATGTGTCTTTAACAAAGAAGAGAATCTTTCTATGTTATTTTTAAGAAGACCAAATTCTACATAAAGTTTCCAGAGTAGAAAGTTTCAATTCCTATAAATAAAAATACAACAGCATATTTTACAGACTATCACAGAAAATCCCCAAGACCACTAATTTTTTTTATAATAAACGTCATCCATTAAAAAATTAGCAAAAATGCTTCTACCAGCATATTTCTGTTATTCGTCGATTGCCTCGAGCAGGCCCCAGTAATTTCTCATTCATCCTAGCCCTGAGATTATATTCAAGGCTCTTTAGGAGAATGAGACCCATCATTGTTACTGGTATTTGGCATATTTGGTACGCCACGGGGAGTTTGCCAGACTCTGCCCTGTGGGCAGGCTACATTCGGTAGCATATTTCTAGTTGCCATTATTTTATGCAATTTAATGTCTAGCTACTCGTGGAAAGTGTCGTGTTTTATTTCCTAGATAAGGGAGTTGCTTATGATATGTGTTAAGTGTTTATGCATGTGTGTGTGTCTTTCAAATTCCTATCTCTTAATTGCAAATATTCTCTTTGAAATCTGATTCATTGCATAAAGTAAAGTAAAGTAAAGTAAAGTAAAGTAAAGGCCCTCCCATTGATCATCGATTTGCTCGAGCGGGCCCAGTAACGTCTCCATTGGAGACTTTGTTGTTACTGTGTTTGGCATATCGAATACATCATGGGGAGCTTGCCAGGCTCTGCCGTGCGGGCGAGATACTCTCGGTAGCTTGCTGGGCTCTCCGAGAGGGGCAGAGGAATCGAACTCGGGTCGGCCATGTTGGCTGCATGCAAGGCAAACGCCCTACCGCTGTGCTATCGCTCCAGCCCGATTCATAAGTACGTGAAATATATGTGCAAATATATGTGCATGTGTATATATGTATATATGCATATTTAAAAACATTCTTCTGTCTATAGGACTTAAATGAGATTAGAATGTGAAGAGATTTTGATGGGTACTTAATCAAATTTTAATTCTTTAAAAGTCATCACTTTATATCCAGAATAATTTTAAACTAATCTTTTTGCATGTATAAAATGTACATATAATTCATTACTACAACTGCATTTTCATATATGCTTTATATATGGTGTGATTATAATTCTGATAATTTCCATATCCAACCATAACCTCTCTCTCAGATATAGCCTATGCTTCCAACAATATTAACCTCTAAGATTTATAGATACATTGTATTTGTGTCTTCAATCAGGTCTATGAATTTTCCAATGAAACAAGATGACTAATTCTCTCCTATGGGTTATAAAACCCTACTGCAAAGATGTGCGTTCCATGGGCCCCCCTTCTCATAGATATCTAGTATTGATTTCATTAAGTCTACGGTGTTTAAATAAACCAGAGGGATTGAGATTGATATTGTGGATAGAATAGCACATTGATACATGAGGCTTTTGGAATTGTTGCAGGAACTGCAATATTTGGGCAGTAGGGAAAGGAAACTGATTATGATTTCCAGAGAGGTGCAGTGGAACATCCTGTCCATGTCCAGAGGATGTGCATATTCAGAGTAGATACTGTCTTGAAGAGATGAGGCAGCCATAAATGAACAGTTTTGGTCAGGAGGCTAAGAAAGCAAATCTCAATTTCTACGGTCAACTCAATACCAGAGGTGATTATTGTGGTAACTGATTTAAAACAGCAGGAAGAACATCTAGTGCCACAGCAAGGATTTCCTGTGTGGAATGATTCAGTGGGAGAATGTGATAACATATCCTCTTATGGAGAGCATTATTCTGGAGTGATTTTGCCTAATATTTAATGCATCAGTAGCTGGAGTGTTAACTAACTACCGTGTGGGGATAACCATTCCAGATTTTGGTGAAGTGAAAGACACTAATACTTGTGGGTAAAATATTTGTGTGAGAAGATAATGCGCCCCAATATCACACTGCACAAGGTGTTCCCCTGTAACTTGTAATAGGAGAAGATTCTGAAATAATAGACAGCACTGCCACTGCAATGCTCATTTTCCACTAGTCTTTGTTACAAAGTTTGCAGGTTTGGGAGGTAACATTGATAGAAGCCCACCATTTGGAAATGTTTTTGCTAAAGGTGATATTTCGAAACACAGACCTTTGGGGTTCACTTTTGTAGCTTGCCAGGCTCTCCAAGAGGGGCGGAGGAATCGAACTCAGGTTGGCCATGTTGGCTGCATGCAAGGCAAATGCCCTACCGCTGTGCTATAGCTCCAGCCCATATTTGATATAGATGCAATTAAATTTATACCAAAATCCTCAAACATTTGCCAACTTAAGAGTGTTCTGGAAGCTAATGACTTATTCTAAACTTACTCAAGTGCAATATTTCTTAAATCACTTTATACCTTGAAAACAAGACCAATAAATGCAGCCTTTTTTTCTCAAGCATACTCCAGTTTTTTCTTAGCTAGTTTTGAATATATACATGGCACAACACCATTAATTTTGTCTATGTCCATTTGGTGACAGCACTTAATTTTTCACAATTTTTTTAGAGCTAAGAAAAAAAATCACACAAATCCACAATTGAAAGTCTAATGTGACCTTTATCCATCATAAAGGAGAATAGTCCAAAGTTGTTTAAACTATGCCCTAGCACGATAAATAACTAGATTTGGGTGATCTGTGAATAACATTTTATTTTAGGTTTTTTTTTGTTTAGTTTTCTTTGTTTGGGGTCACACTCCACTGTGCTCAGGGCTTACTTCAGGCTTTGTGCTTAGGAAGAGTACTGGAGTGCTCAGAGAACCAGATGGGGCGACATGGATCAAACTTGGGTTAGCTACATACAAGGCAAGTGCCCTAACCACTGTGCTATATCTCTACCAACTGAAGAACATTTTAAATTAGAACAATATGACCTAAAGTACAAGACATGGTGTACAACATATTCAACAATTGGATAGAATAGTATCTTCCAAAAATTATTGTAAGATACAATAATTTTAACTAGGTATTTTATAATTAATAATCATAAGAATTCAGTGTATTCTTGGAACATTAATTTGAATATTTGAGATTATAAAGTTATTCATCAATCAAAAAAGTCAATGAAACAATCCTATAATGAATGATACATGAAGAAAAATAGAACCAAATAGACAAAAGTGCAAGAAATATTTGGAATGTAGTAAAATTTCTTGTAGCATCATATTGGAAACAGAGAATGTGAAAAAAAAGAATTGAATAGAAATAAAGTTTAATAGCATTCTTGCCAATACTGGTGAAGGAAGGAGAGACGTCAAACCTTTTTTATACATAGTTCAGATTCTTATCACAAGTCAAGTTTCCTTGTTTCATTCTCTCCTGATTATGGGATCCACAGTAAATTACTTGGAGGCTTTCTTATTTTCTTATTTCCACAGAAATATTATGTTGATTTATATTTGTTTTCTTGGGCTATAATAACTTTACATTCAGTTGTCCACTTCATTCTTTATCTTTAAAGCACACTGATTTACAGAGTTTCTCATGATAGGGTTGTTGTAGGCAAACAATGTGCCAACACAATACATAGTGTTCCAACAAACCAGGGTGACCTTCCCTCCACCAATGTCCGCTGGTTCCTTTTGATCTCTCCCCATTGGTAGGCACATAACAAATTTATTTCCTATTGCTGCAATAAAATCTAAAGAATAGCAAATAAATTTTCAAAAATAAATAAATATAAGTCAATTTGTGATAGGTGCTTCTATATGACTTAATCTACATAAAAAATCCAAACCATATAACAGTATAAAATATAATGCTTATTCTCATCTACATAGGAAGTTTTCAATTTTTTAAAAAAAATTTTATTAGCGAAATACCATGAAAATCAGTTGTGGACATTACAAGTTTTTGTGCTTGAGTTTCAGTTATACAATGATGGACTATCCATCCCTCCACCAGTGCCCATTCTCTACCCCCAATGATCCCAGTATCACTCCCTGCCATTCAATCCTACCTCTGTGGTAGGGCATTTTTTCCCTTTTTGTTCTCTCTCTCCTTTTCTCTTTTGTTCTCTCTTTTTGTTCTCTCTTTTGTTCTTTTTTGTTCTCGCTTTTCCCTTTTGATATCTCTCTCCTTTTGGTTGCTGAGGTTTGCAAAAGAGGCGTTGAGTGCCAATCATATTCAGTCTATAATCTACTTTCAGTATGCATCTCCCATCCTGGGAGAATAATCACAACATCCTTTACTTGGTGTTGCCTTCTCTATATGAGCTTCCCGTTTCCCTAGCATGTGCAGCTGGCCTTCAAGCCATGGAGTGCAGCTCCTGGTACTTATCTTGACTATTAGAGGTTAGTCTCCTATATTGTTACTTTATAATCCTCAAATGAATGCAATCTTTCTATGTCTGTCACTCTCTCTCTGACTCATTTCACTTAGTATGATACTTTCCATGTAGTACCACTACATGTACTACATTTAGTACCAAGACTTCATCTTTTATAACAGCTGCATAGTACTCCATTATATAGATGTACCAAAGTTTCTTTAACCAGTCATCTGTTTTCGGGCACTTGGGTTTTTTCCAGATTTTGGCTATTGTGAACAGTGCAGCAATGAACATAGAAATACAGATGTCGCAGGGGGGGATGGGGGGATGGGGGTGGGGGGGATATTATCCATGGTGGTGGAAAATGGGCACTGGTGGAGGGATGGGTATCTGATCATTGTATAATCAAACCCAAGCACAAAAAATTGTAAATCTACAACTGTACCTCATGGTGTTTCACTAATAAAAAAAAATTTTAAAAAAATTGATACAAAATTGATATTAAATTAATACTAGATGATAAAAAAAAAGAAATACAGATGTCATTTCCACTATATTTTTTTGCCTCTCCAGGATATATTCCCAGGAGTGGTATTGCTGAGTCAAATGGGAGCTCAA